ACTCGAGTCAGCCCCCGGCCCACTTTTCCCGCCCATAGTTAAGACAGAGACCCTAACTCAAGTGAGGCTGACTTCGCCCACCCCCGTGGGATAGAGACGTTCAACAAAGAGAGAGCATATAATAAAAGATGCAAAGCTGGGCCCTTTTCCTAATTGAACTTGAATTGGGTAAAAGAAGTCTTCAATTACCCCATGTTACATGATAAGAAGGCTGTAAAAGCATCACAGGCAGGAGGGTGCTCGCCTTTCAATCTTTAAGACTGCATGGCAGACACAGACAGGGTGTACAGTGATAAGGGCTCACAATTATGAAGGCTACATTTGAAACTCTGAGAAAGGGTTGCTGAGACAGAAATATGGTAAACTCCCAGGAAATATTCAATACTGTCTTGCAATCTAATAATCTTTCTGCAGTCAACATGTTCAGCTGCTATCATAGCTCGGAATTTCAAGTGGTTTTCTAGGAAGCCTCACAAAAGCCTTTGCATTAGCTACCTCTGGGAAGAGATATTGAAAGCAGAGCCCTTTGAAGCAAGAATCAATATATCCATCCGAACTATAAATTGTAGAGACAAGAGGTATTACAGAAGCAACAAAACTAAAATGCTAGCTCAGAGTAATGAGGAGTGGAAGTCAAATATATAACCCAATGTCTCACAGTGTATGAACAGTTAAATGGGATCAAGAAGTGATAGCATGCACCATCTTACTTATTAATGATTCAGCACAAGGCGTATTTTCATTTGAAAACATAAATACAGGAAAGATTTGCATCAAGCTGTCATACTTGTTAAATCATGTGTCCTTAAGTCCCATAAAACTGTGTTGAACAGACAAAAACAAACAATAACTATTTTCCATTCAGCCAAGAACTGCGTCTTATGTTGAATAAAAGACATTTTCGTGGATCAGAACTCAGGAGCGCGTGGGTTTGACCAAGTGTAAATACAGCGGTTTTCCAGAAATTTAATGATATGAGGCCTAATGTCCTTCCTCTACCATGGAAACTGGAGACACCAGCAGAGAGTATTCAACCTTAAGATCATTGCCATCCTCATCTGCTAGCCGAACAAGGCAATAAAGGGCCAATTTGATGGTAAGGCCATTCTCGGCACTCCAAGGAATTCTCTTGTATTTCATGAGTCTGATACAAGCTTTCAGGACAGACTCGTGGATAGATTCATCAATTGACATGTCTGTGAATTGCTTCGAGATCTCCGAAGAAGATATCACCCGCTGGTGTGAGGGTGGTGGCCAGGTGCACACAGGTCTTGGCAAGGTTCGAACTGGGTCAGGTGCTAGATGGAGTTGCATAACCACGAGCTCGTTTTCGGTGATACTAAAGACATATCGGCATTTGTAAGCAGCACCATAATACTGGACTTGCTTGAAAGGTCTGACATCGTCTCTCATCGGCGCGTCTTCGTAGGAATCATCCACTGTAGTCTGGACAGTAGTGATGGCGTTGGTTGGCGACCAATTGAATTTGGTGTCACCAAGTACAAGAGCTCTAGCTCTGCCCTCTGCATTCAGGACCATGTTATGCCCAGCGCCCCAATCAGGGTAGCATCCTCGACTCTCCAACACTCTTCCGCTGGACGTGATAAACAAAGGACGAAGTACTGCTGATACAGGACCTGTGATGGACATGCATATAAGATCACATAGCCCACGTTCATCATATATTTTGTTATAACCCCCTTCTTCACATTTGCTCGTGGCATCGAACCAGGGGACTTGACGCCGGAGATCCTCTCCAAATCACAAGGTGAGCGTCTCATAGTTGAACTCGGACCATTCCTCCACATTCTTGATCGTATCCCAGTCTTCACTGAAGATGAAGGTTGGTCCTCCTGGGGCAGAGTCCGCAGGGGCAATGACCGTAGGGTTGCGTTTTACCAGGTAATCTAGGAGACTTTCAGTCATGTCGGAGGATCTCTTCTGAAGAAAGGCATAAAAAAATGGCATGGTAAATGAGAGACACTGCCGGCAAATCGAGCTATTTATACAGTAGTGCCAGTCTGGCTCTCACCATTTTTGCGCCTAATTAGAAAGACAATCAGAGCTATCTGATTCTGACCACATTTGATAATAGATCAGCACTCAGCTCCCCATGCCACAGAGGCAGGAAGTGCATGCCTGTTATCCAATAACCAATAATGAAATCCAGCGATGAATAGAAAGAAAAGTTGGAGGGAGAAAATGGAGGGAGAAAATGGAGGGAGAAA